ATGGTCTGTAGCTTAAAACCACCATCTCAGTTCTCACTTCTTCTTAAATGCTGTTTTAGAATAAAGCACATGTGGGTTTTTAATTTTATTATTTTATTTTTAATTTTGATTTTCCTCTTCTTACCAGTTATTTGTGTAAAACCCCCACTGTGTCTCTGAGTGGGCACCTCGCCAGACCCCCCTGGACCTTCAAACCTTGTCCAGCGATCGCATGGTGGCAAGGTGAGACCCCTCAAAACCCTCCCCAGCCTTTCTCCCTCCCCCCCCTCCTCTTTCCCCTCCTGCGAGCCTCTGGGACGGATCTGCGATGTGAAGTTTCCATTTGGAGCTGGCAAATTCCTGGTATGCCGATTTCTAGGAAACGTGGCTTGGGATCGTGTGCTTGGTGAAACCCTAGCATGTGTGATACCTGTCTGTCCTCAGCCTGGGGTTGGACATCTGCATCCCATTCTTCGCTCTGAATTTTCTCCAGGCTGGAAGATAGAAACATCCGTGCAGAGAGGGGATTGTAAAAATAAATGGCTTGTTTTTATGGCATGGATTTCTGTGCAGCGTGTGCTGGTGTTGTACGGCATGCATCCTCCTGGAGCAGCATTTTTGTGGCAAAGATCATTGTTTGAATGGCATGTCCAAAGGGGAAAGGGCTTTGAGATGCTACCGTTGCATTTCACAGCTCCTTGTTTTTCCAGAAGCGTGTGTCTGGCACCACTTGCAGAGAGCCTGAAAAACGTATGGAGCTCTGAGGATAACAAAGGCGGGGAAGACACCAGCCACTGCATAGCTTAAAAAGGAAAAAAAAAAAAAAAGCCTTTTGTCATACCTGCTTGTAAAAAAATAGACAAAAAAAGTGTAGAATGCATTTCTCTGAAGCAACAGCTGAATTACTGTCTGCTTCTATGGGAGTGCTAAAATCAGGGTCAAAGCTGTAGCACTGCCCAGCTGTATGGGGGAGTTCTCTGCCTGGGCACCCTGTGCCTGCTGTGGGTGCTTTAATTGCTCGTGGGCATCGATTGCAGCTTTGTTTCTCGTGAGCGTTGATCCCAGTGATACTGCTCTCCATCTGGAGGAGGCCAAAACACTATTTGCAACTGCTCGTGGCAGTGTGCAGGACAGCATTTGGGGAAACAGCGGATTTTAAAGGAGGAAAGATGTAGCTGTTGTTGCTTTTGAGCAATTCAAGGAGTTTTAATTCATTTAGCAGGACTGAGAACAGGCATGCTTTGGTGCCCGTGGGTCAGGATGTGCTAGTCCAAGTGAAGCACACATCGTGCACGTGCAGGAGTCTACTGAACTCATGAGCCTTCTTGTTTGTTCAGCTAGAAGCTCTTTAATGTATTTCATGTTAATTAACGCTGAAATAGTTGCACTTGAAGGGGAGATTGTGTCCAGATGTCAAAACCTCTGTATTTTAAAGCTTGTTTATTATAGGTCTTAAATTACAGTTTAAACAGCTATGCTGAATTTTCAGATCATCTAGTAGAGCGGGGACTGATTGAAAACAACCAAGTGAAAACCCCAAACCCTTTCCTTTACTTCTGAGGAATACCTTTGCCCTTTTGCCAGGCCTGGGGAGGGTGGAGGTGGCAGCTCTGGGTCCCTATGGCTGCAAGGCAGCCCTGCACTGCGCCACGAGCACCCGATTGGTGGCTGGAGGTACAGACCAGGACCCAGTGTTAGGCTCAGAGCTTGAGCAGTGGAGTGTTTTGGGGTTTACAGGCTCCCACGAGGGACTTTGCATCGGGACAGGAAGAATCAAGCTGTGCAAAACCACTCCAAACCATGCAAAACTGCCCCATCATCCACGTGCACCTTTTCTGGGGCGTGCTCTGGATTTCTTTAATCACCTCCCTTTACTTTTATTCTCTGTGCATGGAAATCCCTTCCCTCTTGGTGGCCTTTCAGCAGCGCCCTTATGCCTTGCCAGATCGCTGCACCTTTTGGCGGAGGAGGACCCCCACCTGGGGGGGGGGTTTAACCCTTCCCCACCCTCTCTCCTCCTCCCGCCATCCGTATTTACAGCCCAGGGAAACGAAGCAGTGTGGGAGGAGGACGGTTTAACCTGGCTTCATTTACAGACTTACGACATTAAGCTTGTGGGTAACAACAAGGGGAGAGCGGGGTCTGCTTGGGGTGTCAGAAATACCCAGAGGCTTTTGCACAGTGTAATTAATTCCCTCCCTGTGTCCGGAGCACACGCGGTCCTGCAGCGAGAAGATTCGGGCTCTGACACCTCAGCAAGCTTGCACGGCTCTCGGTGACAGTCCCCAGCTCCCTGGCATTTAAATCTCAGGGAGTAGCAGATTCCTTTTTCCCCTAGAACTGTTTGTTTCAAATTAATTGGGATTTTGGACCCCAGCCAACCTCCTTCTGCTGCTCCAAACCAGAGATAAGTGGGAGCAGCGCAGTCTTTTCTCTAACCTAGTTGGAGCTGTTTTCGCTGGACAGAGAAGTCTCGAACTCTTTCATAACATGGACCACATCTTAATAGCTGGTCTTGTGGGCTCCATCCCTCCCACCGCTTCTGACGCAGAGCATCTCCCCTCCCGCTCGCCTTGGCCAGTTTCCCTGGATGACTCCACTAATTGCTTACGTAGAAAAATAATGAGAAGGATGCGTATGATATATTTTTAGATGTCTCTTGGTGGCATTTAGCAACCGGCGAGCTGGAGCCAGCACCTCCCCATCCGTCTTCAGCATCCCAGCAGTGGCTGCTTGGTGGAGCTCAGGAGGTTCTGCCCCAGGAGGTGGCACTTCTGCAAGCTGCTCCCCTTTCCAGGCTCCTCCTGGTCCTTAAGAAATGGGTTATGGATTCTATGTCCCTGGTGCTGCACAGGATCTGTGCCAGGACGCCCTGAGCCAGTGCATGGTGCCGGCAGCATGCCTGTGCCGTTATGGGCACCGCCACCTTCTTGCTTATCTCCCAAGAGGATAGCCATGGTGGTGGCAGGGCAGCATGGACCATGGTGGCTTGGAGACCATCTCAGCACCTGAATCATAGAATTACAGAATAGTTTGGGTTGGAAGAGACCTTTAAAGGCCATCTAATCCAACCCCCCTGCCATGATCAGGGGCATCCTCAACTAGATGAGGTTGCTCAGAGCCCTGTCCAACCTGACCTTGGATGTTTCCAGGGATGGGGCATCTACCACCTCTCTGAGCAACCTGTGCCAGTGTTTCACTACTCTCATTGTGAAAAATTTCTTCCAAAGTAACCGATGGCATGTTTTTCAATGTATAAATACCTATGAGGTGATAAGTCTCACCTTCGAAGTTGCTTTTTTTTTAGTGTCGTCTTTTAGGTGTTCCCACCTGAAACCTCAGCAGGGCAGGGGAAAGGGATCAGATGCAAAATCTCATTAAATATTACTCAAAAATTGTGATCATTGAGCATTGCAGCAAGTAGTTCCCTTATTTTTTCTATTTGCTTCTTCCATTGCAGGGTTCTTTGTGTCTCGGTGGCTTCCTGTGCCAGGGGGGCCAGACTCCAGCTCTTCCCCTTCCACCCGGGTGCGAGGAGCACAATTCTTCTTGCAGCACGACTTATCTGCCCTTGGAGCTGAAAACATCCTTTCTTCGCTCTTTGTGAATCCCCCGAATGAATGATTTCTTCTGCTGGTTAACGTCAGCTTCCACACCAAAGACTGTGGGAAAGTTTCGCAATTAGAGAGACTTTAATAGATCTGGTTTATGTCTTAAAAAACCCATCGCTTTCTAATTCTCCATCACATGTTTCCTTAATTACGTGTCATGCAGCAGTGCGGCTACCAAAATAGCCTTACGGTCTGAAGGAAATCATCAGGAAATACGTTTTTTAAACTGTAGGCAATTCTCCTTTTCCCAGGCACCATCAGGAAAAGTCTGCATTTGACAAAAAACTTGGCTTTTCTGGCACCTTGTCTGCTTGCACGATGACGTTGGGAGCGTGGTGCTGCAGCAGTTTGCCCCAACCTCCCCCAATTTCTTAAAGTCTTGCTGTGACTTTTCTCTTTATCCACCCGAATAGTTGGGATTCTTTTGGTGTTGGATTTGCTTTAGTTTTTGGAGAAGGTGCTTGCTGTGTGTTCAGCTCTTTCCATGCTGGGTGATGCTTTGCTTGCCTGAGACTTGGAGCCTTTGCTCTCTTTTTGGGGTGTTCTTGGTGGGCAACAGAAAGTGAGATTTGCCTGGGGTTGAGGTGCTGCTTTTCAAATAATAGAGTATCTGACAAATAGGTAATTCCTTGTGGAAAATAATCTTGAACTGTATGAAATAACTCAAAAGGCAAATGCTAGCCTAGCACACGTATTTCTAGCACCCGTACCCAAGGGGTGCCCACCTCTACGTGAGGGCAGGTGAAACTGCGGCCATCAGCCCTCTGCTGCTCGCCTGTGAGCACTTTTGTCTTTCCTGGCTTTGCCGCTGCCCTCAATGTCTGTCAATGTAGGTGCTTCAGTGCTAGTCCTGCGTCAAAATGGATGCTTGGTAGAGCATCACCACGGAAGATGCCAGTGGTGTGGGTGCAGCATCCCAAGATGAGTTTCCATGTTTTGCCTGGTGTCAGGGGTTGGTTGGCTGGCATGAGCATTACCCGCTGGTGCGTTTTTGGGTAAAACTCTTGCTGGGGGAGCCTGCTGGGGCAATGCCAGGGGTGCAGACCTAGGGAGGCAGATGATGAAGGCTGGGGATTTCGGTGAGCATCCCCATCGCTGTGGCCAGACAGAGCATTGGGGCTGTCCCCTATATCCCCTGTCCCCGGGTGGTGAGGACTGCCGGTGTTGCACACCAGGGTTTCCTGTGCCCTGTGGTTCAG